GTTCAGCAGATAGAGGATAAGAGAAGTGATCGGTTTTCTGCAATGTTTAGCCAATAGTAGTACTGATGCTATATTCAAAATAAGTGATATTGGTAAAACTGGTAGTTACTCTATTATAACATTTTTTGCCACCATTATTCATTGAAGGATCACAGAGTGTTTTACAGGTCATTAAGGAATGATGCCTGGCAGCATTTTCATGAATTGTGCTTTTACAGAGAGTTGCAATAAAAGCTCTATAATTTATTTCCTATATAAAACAAAAGGGAAAGCAGGGATGACCTGGTACAATTTATACAATGTTAAAAGTTTCCTTTGATTATCAGTTTTACAAGTAAATCCAGGCACACAAAGGCCAGGTGATTTCTCTCATGTAACAAGTCAATGGAAGAATGGCCACTGCCAAACTCATTACTCTTCACCTCCTGTGCTCATGACTAGAAAACATTTCCCACTTTAGGAAAAAATTTGGAGTGCTCTTGGAATTAGACATCTGTGAGTAATGGAAACTATACCTAGTTATATAGGTTAAATGCAATTCAAGGAGAAAATGTTCCTTCTGAAAGGAGGAAGAAAGAAATTATGACAGATAGAAATTGCATCTACACTGAAATATGCAGTGGAGAAAACGATACAGAACCCTGATTTTAGTTATAGTTTTATACAAAACTTAAGTAAAATTTACTCACTTTTTCATTTGCTCGTTTTATTGCTGGATAGCACCCACTACTTCTAGAGGAAGATAGGTGACCTTTATAACATTTTTGGAGAAACACTGCACTTCAGGGCTTGTCACTTTCATGCAGCAACTCAGTGAATACTTCTATAAATTCTTTATACTTTTAACCTTTAACCTGAGAACAGCCCACACATATGGCATTTAGATCTCATTGCTAAAGTAGTCTTATTTTGTCACCCTCATACCCTCAGCACTACAGTGCAATTCTGACACTCCTTGTAACCTGAATAAAGGTGGAAAACCTAGTCATTCTCATTGCTAGATTCCACTACAAAGCTATATGCTGGACTAGAAGCAGAGGCAAAGAGGGGGTATATGTAGTCTTTAAACTGAGGTAGGGAACATGATCCCTCAAAATCCTGAGCACTATCTTGTAATAAATATATCTTAAAGAAAAATAAAAGAAACAACCCCGAACTACTTTTACCTAAATTAAAAACAGCTATATGCTGCTGCATATATAAAACCAGGATCCAAAAAAAATAAATAAAAATTAATCTTTCTGTTATTTATTTTAATTGAAAAGATAATTTTTGCCTATCCTAAATTTTCACCTCCTGCCTGTTGGTAGAAAAGTGCAAAGCTTAGTAGAATGCACTGGTATTCAGAGATACAGAAAAGCCAAAACATTCAAGTTTTTCAGACTTGAGGAAAAATACTTTGGTTTGAAAGCTTGCCTAAATATCTCTCACAATTGTGCAATTGATCCAATAAAAGATATCACCCTCCATAAAATATCCTTGGGTCTCAAAAATTTAATGAGAGATTTCATATGCACACACTGGGCGTGTCTACACGTTTATTAATATGTAGTAGTTACCATGCATTTAGTTTAGTACTTGCCTAATGAAGTACTAACTAAATGTGTAATAACTTGTACTACTGTGCAGTAGCACTGGCGCATGTTTTTTTGTGATGCTTACTGAACAGTAGCCTAATAACACTATGCAGTAGCATATTAGCACTGTTTTTGCCTGACACGCTACTGCACAGTGTTATTAGGCTACTGCGCAGTAAGCATCTCATGTAGATGCACCCACTGACCACTACCAAGCAATGCTTCATCGAAAGGTAAGGAGGGGTTTATTTAGTATTTTAGTTAACACCATTTTATTGTGTCTGTTTCCCTCTTCTACTTTCTCACCTAAATATGTCAGGCATTGTACTATAGGCACTAGCAGGCTACTTCCTGCATATAAAACATTCTCACTCAGTTCCTTGTAGCTGTGCTCCTTACTGAGACAGACATTAACCTCTCTAACCTACTTTTACTGGATTTTGGTACTATTCTTTTAGTGGGGGTTCTCATGAAAACTTCACTTGCAATACCTACCAGAGGAAATGCTGGGGGGCAAAGATCCACCCCCTGAAACTGGATGTGAGGCCAGGATGCTATTTAAAAATCCCGCCCTCAGGAATCTCGAAAGAGACTTCACCCCAATGGTCGGAAAGGATCCTTGCAAAAAGATAAAAGTTATTATTAATTAAGACAATTTGCTCTTTGACTGCTCTAAAGAAGTTGAATATTAAGAGAAAGAAACCAAAATCATCAATAGTTTCACTGCAGTGGAGTCCATAAAATGCTGTTGAGAGATAAGAAGCAGTAAATTAAAAAAAAGAACCAAACCCCAAACCATCAAATATATAGCTATAAGCAAGAGTGAGATTTTTCTGTATACTATGCACATGTGTTTAAAAGTAAAGTGGAAACATTTCAGAATTTCAAGGAAGAGAAGAAGAGAAGTATTCACCTTTAAAGAAAAGATTACCTCTTGGATCCACAAACTCCACAGCAAATAGCTATGTCTACACTAGAAATGGCCTTAGTAGTACAGAGCACAGCAAACTTCTTGTATGAAAATAATTACATTGATAAAACTGTATTTTGTATGGGTGAACATACCCCTCCAATGCAAAACAAACCATGCTGTTGAAGTGTAATTTTGAATCTAAGCTAGAGAATTCAGTCAGGACTCATACCTTTGTAGACTCTTTAATATAGCTATACTGGCAGAGTTATAGTGTAGATTTGGCTTTATTCTAGTCTATCTACATCAGTGGAATTCCACACACACACTGGAAGAATCCTTTTACATTCCAGCCATTACCTGAAACTAGAAATTTGCCCTGGGAGGCAAGTCCCCTCTCATAAATAGTTATTAGATTAAAAATTGTGAAGATAAATTTAATATGTAGATAACTTTGTAATATGGCTATGATAAAATGACTGAGACCTTTGGGCCCCTGCCAGATGGTCAGGTAAAGGTCTCATTGGATCTGATGCATGAGCCCCACAGTTGTGCCTCCTGCCATGCCAGACACCTCAGGTCCAATCACGCCTTACTGGTTCCTACTGCACTGGCAGATAGCAAGCTCCTGCAGCTGGGAGCCTGCAGCTGATGGGACTCATAGCTGTGGTAGTGCCCATCAGCTGACTCCCAGTCACAGGGGAGCACCTGGCCACACGTTCAATTAGTGGTGTGGTAGGAATGAGCCACAAAGTTATTACACATTTTTTTGGAATAAATTTTATGGCTTAGTCTTTCTTTTAGCACACCATTATCTGATTGAACATGTTGCTGGGTCACTGTTTACGATGTGATAATCAGTTAATCAAATCTTAAATTTAACATGTAGCAGAGGTCTAACTCCTACAATTTAATCCCCTGGCCAGACCCATATAAGGCTGCAGAGACCCAGAGGCTTCCTTGAAATCATGAACATGTTTATGCTTAGTAGACCTTAGCACCCAATAGAACCATAAACCTCAAAACATTGTTCGGTTTGAATGAAAATGAAAATAATCTAAAATAAAATTAAAATGTAACTAATAATTGGGTAAAAAAATAAAATACACTGATGGGTTTGTAATTATTAGTCTGATCATTAATAGAAACATAACACACATACATTAAAGAAATTGGATAGTGATAGTTTTGAGATCTTTTCACTATTTCAGAGGACTGGATATAGTTAATCCTCTGAAAGAAGGAAAAATCACCTTACTATCTATAAAATAAGAATATAAATAGGTTTCTTAGTCTTTATGTAGCTGCAATTTTGTGTGGACTAGTACAGATGCTGAGAAACCTGGTGAAGCAAATTTAGCATAAAGAAACATCAGTTCTTTTTTTGCTGAAGCTGAGTAACCCTAGATAGCTAAAAAATGTTGATTTTTTGATTTCTATGCAGAATAGATCCATTGTTTCCCTTCAGTAAGTGCATTTTCTCCTTGAAACTGAAAGATGGTACAACAATAATTATGTTGTATATGAAGGGCATTGATTTAATTGATGAATTAGACACAAAACCTTTCTTATGTTTCTTAAAGGAATAACATCTGAATGGTAGGGTGATAATTGCTAAAAATATTAAAAATGACACCACTCCTTCCTCTTGAATATCCTGGGATCTTGCAAAGAGATGTACATGAGCAGATGTTCCACGTGAAATCAGAGGGACTCTGTACAAATACAAACTTCTGCCTATGTGGCTGTTGTTGTATGATCAGTAGTCTTCCTTTACACGATATAATTTTCCTCTACCAATGCAGTCTTATTAAAAAAATGCACCCAAATTAGCATGCTCTGCATCATTTTTTTGACTGAATTGCATAGAAAAAAATTTCAAGACAAACTTTAGGGACAGGATAACAGCAATTAGTTGACAAGAATTAGACTGGTAGACAGCTTACAGCTGTAGGTTCCACAGAAGGTGGTGAGACAGAAGTATCAAGGGACATTTTCCGGGCTGGATTAATGCATAAGCAAACTACGCACATGCCTAGGGTCCTAAGTGAAGAAGGGACCTAGTTGTGCTTATTTTACATATTATAATTATAGAGTGAAAAAAATAATATAAATATACAGTATTAAGTAGTTTGTTTGCCTAGGGCCTGCTAACAGGGTTAATCTGGACCGGCCTATTCTTGGTATTACCACAGAGCCCTTGGGAGCCAGGAAAGAATAAATAATTTAAAAGATAACCCCCAAACCATGTCCTTATATTTTCGGTTTTCAGTTTTTAAATATTTTAAGGAATAATTATGGATAAAGGAACCTAGAAACATAATGAATACAAGACCAAAGACTCAAATTGAAAATGGAAGAGTCCTATGTACTCCAAGATATTCTTCAATAACCTGCATCGTAACACAGGAGAGGTAGCAATTCAGTACATAAATGTCTTCTGCATAGTTTCTTTTCTGTTTTAAAATAGAAAAATATAAACTATGATATTTTTCAGAATATATTATACACAGAACTCACATTAACATCGACATTTCTATAGCAAAGTTCAGAACCATAGCCAATCATTGTAGTGCCTAGTGCAGGTCAGGTGCAGAGCACCCCCAACTTCTACAAGCTATTATGTAATATTAGTGAATTCCCCATCAAGAATTACGGGGAGGAGGGGGTGGGCAGGAATGGAGCACAGTCACCCACCACCCTGCGCTGCCGCTGCCTCCCAGAAGTAGGGAGGGGGAGCAGGAAGCTTGCCCCACTGTCCCCTCTGTTCCCCTCTGCTAGCACCCTGCGCCACCGCTACCTCCAAGGAGCAGGGCCGGGGGTGGTGGTGGTGGTGAGGGCAGTGGTGCTGGCCTCACCCCCCTGCTCCTTCCCCTCCCCCTCCATCCCTGCCATCATGGTAGTGCTCCACAGAGCACTCTGTGCAGTGCGCTCTATGCGGAGCGCCCTGATTGGTTGTTTCAGTAAGCGTTGTGATTGGCTGCTCAGACAACCAATCAGAGTGCTCCAAGTGATTTGGCACCCCACTGTGAGAGTGCCTGTACCAGTGCACCATGGGCACTGCCTGTGCTCTGCTACTGATTAAGTTACTATATCATTGTGAAGAACAATAAGGAAAATGTTTGCTTGTATGCAGACAATGAAAGAACAACCTGTGATTTCTAATTCTGTTGTTCTGTTATCCCTTACAGGATTTGAAAATTCCTGTAGAAACTGAAGAGAAAGTTCATTATGGTCTTTCACAGGACTGGAGTGATTAAATCATTATAACAAGCCAGCCTGGAATATCATTTTTCCCCCTCCACTGCGGCCTTAGGGCAAAACACTAGTGAATCAAACTTCAGGAGAGAGACATGGCATGTGCCATGAGAGGCAGGGTTTTTTTTTTTTTTTTTTTATATATGAGGTGACACCATCATAAAAATCCACAATATTAAAGAAAAAAAAAATCTTTTAGCTTCAGGCTTTTAAACCACTTCTGCTTTGGTGACAGACTTCAAGAACTGTACAATCCACATGTTTTTATTGGGACCCTTTTGGATTTCCATTGTCTTGTGATACACAGGTTCACAAGAGGAAAAAAAAGAATATTAAGAAATATATCTCTGCGTAGAGTGATCCTAAAGAAATAAAATAACTATAGAATTATTTTGAAAGGGAAATAATATGAAATAATTTGAAATAAAAAGAGAAAAGGTGGTAGTACATATTTCTTTTTAACAGATCAGGCTAGATGCTTATCCCTGCTCTAAAAAAAACCAACCAACCAACCAAACAAACAAAAAGAACCAGTCTAACAAGCCAGATGAAGATTTACCCCTTCTATTAGGGAATTTCCAAGTAGCACAGAGCTGGGACAAGGATTCCTATATCATAATCATGTCTGTTACCTGCATCAGGGAGCTGGATTGGAAGCCACTATCTGGTTTGTTTCTTGCCAGAAAACAAATGCTCAGGACAATAGGCAATCAGGTGTAAAACTGAGCTAATCCTGCCACCTCCATTGTGGTTGTTAGGAGAGTAGCTTAGCCAAATGCTGTCCAACTTCTAGGGGCCCAGATACTGAGCGTGTTCCACCAATGTGGATGCCCCTCTGCCCCGTGCATGGGCACCTGGCCTCACCCTAAACGCCTTGGCTGTGGGCTCCCCTGCTCCACCACACTGCATGGGAGCCCTGGACTGTAGATTACCTTGGCACCATGGGTTGCGCCATGCTGCCAACTTGCCCCTTAGGACGGGGGAAGAAATGGAAGCCAGAGGTCAGAGAGGGAGCTTGGAGACCCTGGTTGCTGCTACAGCTGGAGTAATGGCAGGTGGTGGTTGGATGGGAGCCTGGGAGCTGCAAGTTAACCCCCCATAGGCTGCATGCAGCCCATGGGCTTCCCAAGAAACACAGTGATTAGACCTTTTAGTATTTTGTCTAGCAAAGGTGGAATTCAATTTGTGCATCTTTCTTCTAAAGAAGTAATCTTACTAGAACATGATGGATTAACTTTTGTTCCCCCAACACCCCACTTTAGCAGTTGTGCTTATATCCTAATTACATTTTTTGGAAAATAAAGAAGAGTTTGCAGTTACCTCCCTATTCCCTTCATCCCTTTCTGCTCTCAGCGTTCATCTTTGGGAAGATACAGAAATAATGCTTTTTCCCATATAAGGAAAATTCTTGCACATGTTTGGGAGCATGGAAAATTCTAGTCCTGAAATC